ATATAACTAACTACTAACTACCATACAATGATTGACATTGCATACAAATTCAGTATTTACACAATGATAAAAATCAACGCATTCACTCAAACATTCACACACAGGAAGAAGAAGGATGACAAGCATTTATAGTGTTTACTTAGCCTTATTTAATTATTAACTTAGTAATATGGTGACACAATCACCATACCAAAGATAAGCATGTTAATAATACTGAAATTACATTCCACATAACTTAGATAACATAAGTTATATTATTATACAAATACATAGATATTAGCTAGCAATTTTATAGATTACTAACCTTAATAATCGAATTATTTATCCCAGATCTGTCCGAGTCCAAATTGTTGACTGACTTCTGAATTGGTGTATTGTCAAGTGCAAGATGGATGAAAAGTGCACAGTTTGAACAAGCCAATGAAAACAAGGCTTGGGTTAGAACAAAGAGGAGAAACAATGACACAAACATAGACCAACCCAACCACCCTCTACATTATAAGTAAACTAATCCAGAAGCCCATAATAGATATTGAACTAAGAACCTACTTTCCTAACAACTTAAAATAATATTACAAACCTAAAGGACCTCAAATAGATAAAACATATATACAACAAAACTGTATGTTAATACTTGTGTCTGCCACATTTTTGTAATCTAATCACCAATGATCATCGTGAAACGTCGCCGATAACCCTGCAATGTTTTAGAATGTTTTGGAAAATACGCAAACACGAACTCCGAAGTAACGTTCCGCCATATTGGACGAATGCAAAAGATAGGGCAAACATGAAAAGGACCTATGACTTTACATACAGTTGGTTTTGGTTGGTTTGTTGTTTTACGCTGCACTCAGCATTATTCCATCTATATGACGGCGGTCTGTAAATAATCGAGTCTGGACCAGACAATCCAGTGATTAATATCATGAGCATCGATCCACGCAATTGGGATCGATGACATGCATCAGCCAAGACAGCGAGCCTGACCACCCGATCCCGTTAGTCGCCTTTTACGACAAGCATAGTCATCTTTTACGGCAAGCATTGGTTGCTTAAGACCTATTCTACTCCGGATTTTCACGGGTCCTTTACATACAGACGTGACAGTCATTTAATTTGACGATGAAAGTGTCACTTAATGAGCGCAAGAAGACATAAACCCCGATCATAAAACCCACTGTTTACTTCAGAAGCGGTTACAAATATGTCTCTTTCCGTCAATAACAACAATTCTTTCAAGATATACAAACAATATTACTCTAAATACTCCTTTCAAATAGTTCTTCCCCCGTGAGTATCCGGGATAGAATTGGTCTTCAGCAACCCATGCTTGTCGTAAGAGACGACTTATGGGATCGGGTCGTCAGGCTCGGTGACTTGGTTGATGCGTTTCATTGCATGCCAATGGCGTTAATCGATGCTCATGATGTCAATCACTGGTTTGAATTACCCAGATTAGATGATTTAATATTACTCGCGAATGCTACTATTGTTACAGATTTCCCAGTTTTACAAAATCAAGGGGAACTTTCAAGGAGGTTCACTGTTGTTGAGGGAGAATCAATCGAGGTCAACTTCACAGTCGTCTCAAGTCCAAGGTCATTAGTTGTGGAATGGAGTCTTCAGGCAGATGGAAGTAATGAAGCAAGTGTTTGGAGTAGGAGCGGTGACAATTCTCTTTGGAACATGAGGAACCGGACATTGTCAGCTGATGTCCAGTTATTTCAATTCTACCACGTGAATGTTACTGAAAACATGACCGGTCTGTACAGGGTCATCTTGACCAATTGTCTTCGTCGTAATCTGGATTTGGAATACAGTATCAGAATAAGAAATGGTTAGTTGCCCCTAGTGTTAATTCCCGATTTGAAACATGAAACAGTTAAACATAATCATGTAAAATATTCTCTGAAAAATATAAATACACGTGCATATTGTATGTTTTGTTTTGTATCCAAGGCAACGTATTCTGTAGTTAAGTCTAAATACTTCAAGTAGTCAGTGGTCAGTAGTCAGTGGTCAATTTCAGGTTTTTGAGTGTCTTCAACGGCGTGGGGCGGTCGGATCGCTTAGTGGTTAAAGCGTTCGTTCGTCACGCCGAAGACCCGGTTCGATTCCCGACATGCGTACAATGTGTGTCCCCCGCCGTGATATTGCTGGAATATTGCTAAAAGCGGCGTAAAACCATACTCACTCACTCCCTCAAACTTCTACGGTGTTGGTCTGTGCTGATATTATTAATCACTGGATTGATAGATCCAGACTCGATTAAATTCAGAGGCAGTCGTTGCATAAGTGAAATATATAAAGCAAAGAACTGAAATGTTGCATTTCTCAGAGAACAAGATTGATTTCGCTTCATCTTCATATTCCACAGATACCACTGCACGCATCCTCAGTACAACGGAAGTTTACAACAGTAAGTATTCCACCATGACATGACTATAAAACACCAGCACAGTACGTACACAACATTAGTAATGTTTAATGTACAAATATTACCACCTCACCCATATAATCGATTCCCTTGCAGCTACGACTGATCTGAATCTCAAGGAGGACGAGGACTATGAATCTAGTAAGTACTGCTGAAGCACTGAGTGCATGCTTACCAGTTTAGGACTATTGCTGAGTCAGGTTTACCGACTATGTGAACAATATTTCAGTTATAATATGGCAGTTTATTGTGGGAGGAAAGCGGTTTTTTTCATAAACCCAAATCTTCAATAAATTACCGTAAATAATGCAATAAAATATACTTTGTTCGATGGACATGCTCCAAAGCCCACATGCCTACCGTCTGTGAAGAGATATTGTTGGAATATTGTTAAAAGCCAGAGTGAAAAGTCAAGGCCAGAGAATAATAATAGTCTCGATTATCTGCTGAAACAAATCCCACTGGGTGTAAGAGGCAAGCTGGGGGCAAGTCTGACCACCCGATGCCGTCAGTTGCCTTTTATGACAAGCCTAGTCGCCTTTGAAGACAAGCATGGATTGCTGAAGACCTATTCTAACCTGGATCTTCACGGGGCATGTGATCTAGTTAGCAAAGTTTAATGCGTAAAAGTCCATTTAATTTGACGATGAAAGTGTGATTTAATGAGTGCAAGGAGACATTACCCCCGATCATGAAACCCACTCCTCCGTCAATAAAAACAATTCTTTTAATATAGACAGTATTACTCTAAATACTCCTTTCAAATAGTTCTTCCCCGTGAGTATCCGGGATATAATTAGTCTTCGGCAACCCATGCTTGTCGTAAGAAGCGACTAATGGGATCGGGTGGTCAGGCTCGGTGACTTGGTTGATGCATATCATTGTAGATCGAGGTTCATGTTGTCAATCACTGGTTGTATTGCCCAGAGTCCATTATTTACGAACCACCGTCGTATATGAGCGCGGCGTTAAACAGCAAACAAACACATAGGTTTTAGAACCACTAAATGCTTTCACGTCTTCACATTTGCACATGTTAAAGATCCGCCGTGGAATATTTCGATATCAGTCAACAACAGAGTCAGAGCTAGTTATACCATTTGGGTTGCTGAAGACCTATTCTACCCCGGATTTTCACGGGTCCTTTACATACAGACGTGACAGTCATTTAATTTGACGATGGAAGTGTCACTTAAAGAGCTCAAGAAGACATAAACCCCGATCATAAAGCCCAATGTTTTCTTCAGAAGCGGTTAAAAATATGTCTCTTTCCGTCAATAACAACAATTCTTTCAAGATATACAAACATTGTTACTCTAAATACTCCTTTCAAATAGTTCTTCCCCCGTGAGTATCCGGGATAGAATTAGTCTTCTGCAAACCCATGCTTGTCGTAAGAGGCGACTAACGGGATCGGGTCGTCAGGCTCGGTGACTTGGTTGATGCGTTTCATTGTATGCCAATGGCGTAAATCGATGCTCATGATGTCAATCACTGGTTTGAATTACCCAGATTAGATGATTTAATATTACTCGCGAATGCTATTATTGTTACAGATTTCCCAGTTTTACAAAATCAAGGGGAACTTTCAAATAGGTTCACTGTTGTTGAGGGAGAATCAATCGTGGTCAACTTCACAGTCGTCTCAAGTCCAATGTCATTAGTTGTGAAATGGAGCCTGCAGGCAGATGAAAGTAATGAAACCAGTGTTTGGAGAAGGAGCGGTGACAATTCTCTTTGGAACATGAGGAACCGGACATTGTCAACTGATGTCCAGTTATTTCAATTCTACCACGTGAATGTTACTGAAAACATGACCGGTCTGTACAGGGTCATCTTGACCAATGGTCTTCGTCGTAATCTGGATTTGGAATACAGTATCGGAATAGGATATGGTAAGTCGCCCCCAGTGTATATTCCCGACTTGAAGCATGAAACAGTTCAACATAATCATGTAAAATATTCCCTGAAAAATATAAATACACGTGCATATTGTTTGTTTTGTTTGTATCCAAGGCAACGTATCTTGGTGTTAAGTCTAAATGCTTCAGGTCGTCAGTGGTCAGTGGTCAATTTCAGTTTTTTGTGTGTCTTCAGCGGTGTGGGGCGGTCGGATCGCTTAGTGGTTAAAGCGTTCGCTCGTCACACTGAAAACCGGTTCGATTCACGATTCGGGTACAATGTGTGAAGCCCATTTCTGGTGTCCCCCGCCGTGATATTGCTGGAATATTGCTAAAAGCGGCGTAAAACCTCACTCACTCACTCACTCACTCACTCAAACTTCTACGGTGTTGGTCTGTGCTAATAATATTAATCACTGGATTGATAGATCCAGACTCGATTTAATTCAGAGGCAGTCGTTGCATAGCTGAAATATATAAAGCAAACAACTGAAATTGTGCATTTCACAGAGAACATTATTGATGTCGCTTCATCTTCATATTCCACAGATACCACTGCACGCATCCTCAGTACGACGGAAGTTTACAACAGTAAGTATTCCACCATGACATGACTATAAAACACCAGCACAGTACGTACACAACATTAGTAATGTTTAATGTACAAATATTACCACCTCACCCATATAATCGATTCCCTTGCAGCTACGACTGATCTGAATCTCAAGGAGGACGAGGACTATGAATCTAGTAAGTACTGCTGAAGCACTGAATGCATGCTTACCAGTTTAGGAACTATTGCTGAGTCAGGTTTACCGACTATGTGAACAATATTTCAGTTATAATATGGCAGTTTATTGTGGGAGGAAAGCGGTTTTTTTCATAAACCCAAATCTTCAATAAATTACCGTAAATAATGCAATAAAATATACTTTGTTCGATGGACATGATCAAAAGCCCACATGCCTACAGTCTGTGAAGAGATATTGTTGGAATATTGTGAAAAGCCAGAGTGAAAAGTCAAGGCCAGAGAATAATAATAGTCTCGATTATCTGCTGAAACAAATCCCACTGGGTGTAAGAGGCAAGCTGGGGGCAAGTCTGACCACCCGATGCCGTCAGTTGCCTTTTATGACAAGCCTAGTCGCCTTTGAAGACAAGCATGGATTGCTGAAGACCTATTCTAACCTGGATCTTCACGGGGCATGTTATCTAGTTTAGCAAAGTTTAATGCGTAAAAGTCCATTTAATTTGACGATGAAAGTGTGATTAAATGAGTGCAAGGAGACATTACCCCCGATCATGAAACCCACTCCTCCGTCAATAAAAACAATTCTTTTAATATAGACAGTATTACTCTAAATACTCCTTTCAAATAGTTCTTCCCCGTGAGTATCCGGGATATAATTAGTCTTCTGCAACCCATGCTTGTCGTAAGAAGCGACTAATGGGATCGGGTGGTCAGGCTCGGTGACTTGGTTGATGCATATCATTGTAGATCGAGGTTCATGTTGTCAATCACTGGTTGAATTGCCCAGAGTCCATTATTTACAAACCACCGTCATATATGAGCGCGGCGTTAAACAGCAAACAAACACATAGGTTTTAGAACCACTAAATGCTTTCACGTCTTCACATTTGCACATGTAACAGATCCACCGAGGAATATTTCGATATCTATCAACAACCGATACCAAGCTAATTACATCATTTCGGGAGGTGCCAACGCCAATCTGGTCTGCTCTGTTGATGGATTTCCTCCTCCCTTCATCACGTGGCGAAAGGATGGCGACATCATAAAGGAAGAGAACCTCACAGACCGCTATGGCCTCCGCCAGCCTCCCACTGACGGCTTCATTAGTGTCTTCGACGTGATCAACGCCGGGCGTGAAGACAGCGGCACCTATGCATGTACAGCTCACACCAGCGCCAACCAGAATGATAGTCCGGAGGCCGAGGTGCACCTGGCCGTGCCTACCTGTGAGTATGTAGTTGACTGCACAGAAGTAGCATCATTTGTGCTGGGTATATCCATGTCATTGTGCCTTTATCGACTAATATACCTCTTACCCACGTATTCATTTCGAGATGATCTCTACAATCTCAATAGATCTGCATGAAAACTAAAGGAGGAATGCTAAAGCAGAGGGCGTCGTGATCAAAATTTATTGATTGTGAAGGCATGATTGCCAGGGTTATGTTGTTACTTCTTATTTTGAAGCTTAAAGGATTTTGATGATTTGATTGGTTTATTTGCTGATCACATGACCAGTTCATTTTTCAACAAACTTCAAAAAGTGACTCCCACAAAGTATTAACTTCACCTTTTGACGTTTACACGATTTTTGACCGGGACTACTTTTCATGGGGAATCCCCGAGTGGAACAGTTCTCTCTTTTCTCTCCTGCTCACCACGATCGTGAGGATCGATTATGTCGGTCAATAAGTTAACGTATCTCCTTCTCTCAAAGCATTTTACGCAAAGGAAAATTACTGAAAATGACCAAATGAAATTTAAGAACATCGTAAATTTCACCATTTGTAAAACATTACTAAATCACCATTCACGGCGTTATTTAGTATATGTTTTGAAATCAAAATATTGGAGCTTAGCTCGGAAAATTGAATATCCAAAATAGTATATTGGTGATCTTGGGTTATTGTTTTTTTTAATCTAATCACTAATGATCGTCGTGAAACGTCGCCGATACCCCTACAATGTTTTAGAATGTTTTGGCAAATGCGCAAACACGAACACCGAAGTAACGTTCCGCCATATTGGACAGATGCAAAAGATAGGGCAAACATATGAAAGGACCTATCACTTTACATAGAGACATGACAGTCATTACAGACGTGACGGTCATTATATACATAGCAATGGTAGAACAGAAACAAAGTACCCAGAACATCATCAGGATGCAGTTAAGAACAAGTAAGACATGGTGATGTTCATTCTTACAACGTTCAAGGGGCGGTCGGGTAGCCTAGCGTTTAATGCGTTCGCTCATCACGCCGAACACCCGGGTTCGATTCGCGACATGGGTACAATGTGTGAAGCCCGTTTCTGGTGCTCCCCGCCGTTATATTGCTGTAATATTGCTAAAAGCAGCGTACCCGATAAAATATAAATGTTGTTCACACAATAAGCAACATATATTAGTATTTTGTTATGACTTTTTTCCGACATGTATAATTACACATCATAACAATTACTTACATATTTACTGATGCATTAACAACATTACTCTCGAATACCTCTTACGACACGCATAGTCACCTCTTACGGCAAACATAGCTTACGGAAGACCTATTCTAACCTGGATCTTCCTGGGCATGTGATCTAGTTTAGCATACTATAGTGCGTAAAAGTCCATTTAATTTGACGATGAAAGTGTCACTTAATGAGCACAAGGAGACATAAACCCCGATCATAAAACCCACTCTTTACTTCAGAAGCGGTTACAAATAAGTCTCTTTCCGTCAATAACAACAATTCTTTCAACATATACAAACAATATTACTCTAAATACTCCTTTCAAATAGTTCTTCCACCGTGAGTATCCGGGATAGAATTAGTCTTCTGCAACCCATGCTTGTCGAAAGAGACGAATTATGGGATCGGGTCGTCAGGCTCGGTGACTTGGTTGATGCGTTTCATTGCATGCCAATGGCGTAAATCGATGCTCATGATGTCAATCACTGGTTTGAATTACCCAGATTCGATGATTTAATATTACTCGCGAATGCTATTATTGTTGCAGATTTCCCAGTTTTACAAAATCAAGGGGAACTTTCAAGGAGGTTCACTGTTGTTGAGGGAGAATCAATCGTGGTCAACTTCACAGTCGTCTCAAGTCCAAGGTCATTAGTTGTGAAATGGAGCCTGCAGGCAGATGGAAGTAATGAAACCAGTGTTTGGAGTAGGAGCGGTGACAATTCTCTTTGGAACATGAGGAACCGGACATTGTCAACTGATGTCCAGTTATTTCAATTCTACCACGTGAATGTTACTGAAAACATGACCGGTCTGTACAGGGTCATCTTGACCAATGGTCTTCGTCGTAATCTGGATTTGGAATACAGTATCGGAATAAGATATGGTAAGTCGCCCCCAGTGTATATTCCCGACTTGAAGCATGAAACAGTTCAACATAATCATGTAAAATATTCCCTGAAAAATATAAATACACGTGCATAGGAGCGGTGACAATTCTCTTTGGAACATGAGGAACCGGACATTGTCAACTGATGTCCAGTTATTTCAATTCTACCATGTGAATGTTACTGAAAACATGACCGGTCTGTACAGGGTCATCTTGACCAATGGTCTTCGTCGTAATCTGGATTTGGAATACAGTATCGGAATAAGATATGGTAAGTCGCCCCCAGTGTATATTCCCGACTTGAAGCATGAAACAGTTCAACATAATCATGTAAAATATTCCCTGAAAAATATAAATACACGTGCATATTGTATGTTTTGTTTTGTATCCAAGGCAACGTATCTTGGTGTTAAGTCTAAATGCTTCAGGTCGTCAGTGGTCAGTGGTCAATTTCAGGTTTTTGTGTGTCTTCAACGGTGTGGGGCGGTCGGATCGCTTAGTGGTTAAAGCGTTCGTTCGTCACGCCGAAGACCCGGTTCGATTCACGATTTGGGTACAATGTGTGAAGCCCATTTCTGGTGTCCCCCGCCGTGATATTGATGGAATATTGCTAAAAGCGGCGTAAAACCATACTCACTCACTCACTCACTCACTCACTCACTCACTCACTCACTCAAACTTCTACGGTGTTGGTCTGTGCTGATATTATTAATCACTGGCTTGATAGATCCAGACTCGATTAAATTCAGAGGCAGTCGTTGCATAGCTGAAATATATAAAGCAAACAACTGAAATGTTGCAATTCTCAGAGAACATTATTGATTTCGCTTCATCTTCATATTCCACAGATACCACTGCACGCATCCTCAGTACGACGGAAGTTTACAACAGTAAGTATTCCACCATGGCATGACTATAAAACACCAGCACAGTACGTACACAACATTAATGATGTTTAATGTACAAATAATACCACCTCACCCATATAATCGATTCCCTTCCAGATACGACTGATCTGAATCTCAAGGATGACGAGGACTATGAATCTAGTAAGTACTGCTGAAGCACTGTATGCATGCTTACCAGTTTAGAACTATTGCTGAGTCAGGTTTACCGACTATGTGAACAATATTTCAGTTATTAGGTGGCAGGTTATTGTAGGAGGAAAGCGTTTTTTCAAAATCAAAATCTTCCATAAATTACCGTAAATAATGCAATAAAATATACTTTGTTTGATGGACATGCTCAAAAGCCCACATGCCTACAGTCTGTGAAAATAAATTGTTGGAATATTGTGAAAAGCCAGAGTGAAAAGTCAAGGCTATAGAATAACAATAGTCTCGATTATCTGCTGAAACAATTCCTATTGGGTGTAAGAAGCAAGCTGGGGGTCAATGGATGACGGAAAGTCAGTGATGACACCAGGTGTTCGGGACACACACTCATAGTGTCTTTGTTTCAGCGTGGAAGATACTGTTGGCAGTTGTTGTTGGGGTGGTTGTCACAAATGTTCTCCTCGTTGTCCTGTTGTCTTTCTGCATCAGAGGTTAGTAGTTTACTGTTTACTGTTAGTAGTTTACTGTTAGTAGTTACTGCTTACTGTTAGTAGTTTACTGTTAGTAGTTTACTGTTAGTAGTTACTGCTTACTGTTAGTAGTTACTGTTTACTGTTAGTAGTTTACTGTTAGTAGCTTACTGTTAGTAGTTACTGCTTACTGTTAGTAGTTACTGTTTACTGTTAGTAGTTTACTGTTAGTAGTTACTGCTTACTGTTAGTAGCTTACTGTTGGTAGTTTACTGTTTACCGTTACCTGTTTCCTATTAGTTGCTTACTGTTACTTGTTTACTGTTTATAGAACTTTATTGTTAGTTGTTTACTGTTAGAGGTTTTCTGTTAGTACTTTACTGTGAGTACTTTACTAGTAGTATTTTACTGTTAGTTTTTGTTTGTTTGTTTGTTGTATAACGCCGCACTTAGCAATATTCCAGCTATATGACGGCTTTACTGTTAGTAGTTAAATGTTAGTTGCTTACTGTTAGCTCTTCACTGTTAGTTCTTTACTGGTAGTATTTTATTGTTAATACCTTACTGTAAGTTATTTACTGTAAGTACTCTACTGTTCGTAATTTACAGTTAGTAATTTGCTGTTAGATGTGTAGAGTTTATCGTACTATTGTTAGTTGTTTACTGGTAGTATTTTACTGTTAATACCGTACTGTAAGTTGTTTACTGTTAGTAGATTACTGGTAGTATGTTACTGTTAATACCTGACTAAGTTGTTTACTGTTAGTAGTTTACTGGTAGTATTTTACTGTTATTACCGTACTGTTCGTTATTTACTGTTAGTACATTACTGTTCGTTTACTTGGGACTAGTTAAATTGACGTCAATTACGACATGATCTAAGGGAGGTAACTCTGCCCAGTAATTTGACTTTCATACTTTCAATGTGAGAAAAATGAGTGGATATTTTCAAACAATTTCAAATTGATTTCTGTGCGAATACCACCCCTTTAAGTCCTACTTGTCAAATGTTTGATATCTCGTCACAGGCGTTATGCCAGCGGCGGTCGAACATGTCTACCATGAAGTGGATGAAAGGCTGATGGTGGATCTTCCTGTGACTGAGGCCAACACCATCTACATGCAGCCCTTTGACCCCTACTCCATGCAGCGTTATTTAAACAGGGGCGTGTCCTGCATGGACACAGACGTGTGAACTGTGGCTTCTCACTGAACGATCATCTGTTTAATCGTCACTCACTATTCGAATTTGTGTCGCTGTCCAAACTGAATCACTGGACAAGCAAATATTTTTTTCTTTTGTAAACATTCTCTCTACTGGCACTGGTGACCGCCGCCATGGTCTAGTGAGCGTCATACCAAAAGACGTTAAAAGATGGTTCTTGATGGATGGAGTTTCCACAAATCTTTTAGTTGTACATACTATATAACGGTGTACTGCCTTAAATATAACTTCATTTTCTGTAACAACGTGATCTGCATTGCCGTATAACAGTAGGTGTACATCAACAGGTATGTTATGAACAATATCTTAAAGGTTGTTAAAAATAATTTCACGCTGATGACTAAACAATGTACATTCCATGAGATAATGATATGCATTTTCACATGTATTTGAACATGTACAGTTCGGGTGATCTTTTATACCAATTCTGTATAAATCATAATTCAATTGACTGCAGCGGCACATGTATCTCAGTTTTGTGGGTAAGATTTTATATTTTCTTTTTCCAAATGCGCAGTGAGTACGCAGGTGACGTGTGGTGGTGCTTTTGTAAAGAATTTTTAAAACAAGAAATCGTAGAATTTCGATCTGATAACGGAATAGAGTTCCACAATCGGATGATCGATGGGTAAAAGGATTCACACGAATGTCTTAGTCTCGTGAGAGGAACACTGATGTTTTCAGAGTTTCTGAGACTGTATGAGCTTTTTGCAGCAACGGTGTTTGGTAGAATATCTGTTAGATAGGAAGGGGCCATATTATGATTAATTTTGAAGAAAAGACAAAGTTTACGTTTCTTTCTATGCTCAACTAAGGGTTCCCAACCGGTTTCGTAATATAATGAATGCCTGGGGGCATATTTAGGTAGACCAGTTACAATGCGTGCAGCTTGTAATTGTAATTGTTCTAATTTCTCACTTTGTCCTTCGGTGCAACCATCCCATACCTCACATGCGTATTCAAAGTGTTGTCTTATGAACATTTTATATATATTGTTAATAGTATTTCTGTGAAGGAGATGTTTGAGTTTTCTCATTGAGTAAATCATCTTGTAAGTTGTTTTTATTATGATATCTATATAAGACCATTTGCCACTGGCTTCCAGTATAACACCCAAGTGCTTATGACTTTTTACAGAGTTGATTACTTTTCCGTTGAAATATAGTTGTAGACCTCCAATGTTGTCTTTGCGAGAGAATAGAACTGATTTAGTCTTTTCGGGATTGTAAGTTATCAGCCAAAGTTTCGCCCATTCACTTAAGATTGCTAGATTTGTGCTTAAGGAACGTTCCAGTACACTGTTATCATTGGATTACATGCCAATCGATGTATCGTTGTCAAAAAGTCTTGTCATACAGCCTTAACTATCAGCAATGTCATTTATATTAACAATAAAGAGTAAAGGACCAAGCACGGACCCCTGTGGCACGCCAGCCTTCATGTATCTTGGTTTGGATATTTCCCCATTGACAAATACGCTTTGGCTACGGTTACTTATGTAACTGGTAAGCCATTTTAACATTTGGCCTTTTATACCATACCTCTCTAATTTATACACACGCCCACTGTGTCATGCACGATCAAAGGCATTTGATACATCACAGAATACAATAAAATAGTTTTCTTTGTTATCTAACGCTGTACAAATTTGATGATAAAGTTCTTTTAGTTGGTGGACAGTTGAGTGACCAGCCTGAAACCCATATTGGTACTTATACAACAACTTGTTCTCATGAAAGTAATTATATAAATGTTTGAACACAACTCTCTCAAACAATTTTCCTAAACAGCTAATGAGTGATAGGGGTCTCACCTCACCTCACCTAACTGGTTGTCGTCTGTTTGTTAATAGATATTTTACTATGAAATTCGCTATGTTATTATTGATTTGTTTGAAATGTACATAAATGCTTTAATATGTTTTCGACATACGTCTCTACCCCCTGAAAAGAAAGTTCAAACTATATGTATATTCGCAAATATATGCTTCAACAGTATCTCGTTTTACCTTTTATACCCAAATGTACACTAAACTGTTCGTTGTTTAACACGACACTCGGTAATAGTACGTTGTATGAAGGCGGACTGTAAATAATCGTTTCTGGACATGACTATGCAGGATTGAGACCATACGCAACCAACCATTTCACCGAGACTGACCACCCAATCGCCGGTCTTTATTAAAAGATATCGAAGCTTCTATTTTTATCATCTGACTGTCAGTTGAAAAAAGTTAGTGCATTCCGTTCCCATTTTGCTCACTGTGCTAAGAGTTGGGTGTTTTAATAAATATTTTATATCATAATGAAATTTGAGCAGAATATCTGATTCCTATGCACAAAGAAATGCATTCAACTCATAAGTCCTTGAACACCTTACGATCTCAATATAATGCCCGAACAACACCGTGTGACTTCATGTAACATGTATACAACACCGTATGACATGGGTGTGATATGAATACAACACCGTGTGACATGGGTGTGACATGAATACAAGAACGTGTGACATCATTTGACATGACTACAACACCGTTTGACATGGATGTGACATGTATACAACACCGTGTGACATGGGTGTGACATGTATACAACACCGTGTGATATTGATGTGACATGTATACAACACCATGTGACATTGATGTGACATGCATAAAACAACGTGTGACATCATGTGAAATGTATACAACACCATGTGACATGGATACAACACCGAGTGACATCATGTGACATATATACACCACCGAGTGATATGGATGTGACATGTATACAACACCGAGTGACATGGATGTGACATGGATACAACACCGTATGACATGGGTGTGACATGAATACAACACCGTGTGACATGGGTGTGACATGTATACAACACCGTGTGACATTATGTGACATGTATACAACACCGTGTGACATTGATGTGACATGCATACAACACCGTGTGACATTGATGTGACATGTATACAACACCGTGTGACATCATGTGACATGTATACAACACCGTGTGACATGGGTGTGACATGGATGTGACATGTATACAACACTGTGTTACATGAAAACAACACCGTTTGACATGGATGTGACATGCATACAACACCGAGTGATATGGATGTGACATGGATACAACACCGTTTGACATGTATACAACACTGTGTGACATGGGTCAGATATGTATAGAGCACCTGTGACATGAGAGTGACATGGATGGAACACCGTGTGACATACATACAACACCGTGTGACATGGGTCAGATATGTATAGAGCACCTGTGACGTCGGAGTGACATGGATGGAACACCGCGTGACATGCATGCAACACCGTGTGACATGGATGTGACATGTATACAACACCGTGTGGCATACATATAACACCATGTGACATGGTTTTGACATGTATACAACACCGTGTGACATGTATACAACACCGTGTGACATGGATGTGACATGTATACAACACCATATGACATGGATGTGACATGTATACAACACCTTGTGACATGGGTCAAATATGTATAGAGCACCTGTGACGTGGGAGTGACATGGATGGAACACCGTGTGACATGCATACAACACCCTGTGACATGGATACAACACCATGTGACATGGATGTGACATGTATATAACAACGTATGACATGGATTGGACATGTATACAACACCGTGTGACATTGATGTGACATGTATACAACACCGTGTTACATGGATACAAAACCGTGTGACATGGATGTGACATGGATACAACCCCGTATGACATGTATACAACACCGTGTGACATGGGTCAGATATGTATACAACACCGTATGACATGGATCTGACATGTATACAACACCGTGTGACATGGGTGTGACATGTATAGAACACCGTGTTACATGGATACAAAACCGTGTGAACTGGATGTGACATGGATACAACACCGTGTGACATGGATCTGACATGTATACAACACCGTGTGACATGGGTGTGACATGTATAGAACACCGTGTTACATGGATACAAAACCGTGTGACATGGATGTGACATGGATACAACACCGTGTGACATGTATACAACACCGTGTGATATGGGTCTGATATGTATACAACACCATATGACATGGATCTGACATGTATACAACACCGTGTGGCATGTATACAACACCGTGTGACATGGATGTGACATGTATACAACACCGTGTGACATGGATACAACACCGTGCGACATGGATATGACATGGATACAACACCGTGTGACATGTATACAACACCGTGTGACATGAGTCAGATATGTACAGAGCACCTGTGACGTGGGAGTGACATGGATGGAACACCGTGTGACATGCACACAACACCGTGTGACATGGTTTTGACATGTATACAACACCGTGTGACATGTATACAACACCGTGTGACATGGATGTGACATGTATACAACACCGTGTGACATGGATGTGACATGTATACAACACCGTGTGACATTGATGTGACATGCATACAACACCGTGTGACATTGATGTGACATGTATACAACACCGTGTGACATCATGTGACATGTATACAACACCGTGTGACATGGGTGTGACATGGATGTGACATGTATACAACACTGTGTTACATGAAAACAACACCGTTTGACATGGATGTGACATGCATACAACACCGAGTGATATGGATGTGACATGGATACAACACCGTTTGACATGTATACAACACTGTGTGACATGGGTCAGATATGTATAGAGCACCTGTGACATGAGAGTGACATGGATGGAACACCGTGTGACATGCATACAACACCGTGTGACATGGGTCAGATATGTATAGAGCACCTGTGACGTCGGAGTGACATGGATGGAACACCGCGTGACATGCATGCAACACCGTGTGACATGGATGTGACATGTATACAACACCGTGTGGCATACATATAACACCATGTGACATGGTTTTGACATGTATACAACACCGTGTGGCATACATATAACACCATGTGACATGGTTTTGACATGTATACAACACCGTGTGACATGTATACAACACCGTGTGACATGGATGTGACATGTATGCAACACCATATGACATGGATGTGACATGTATACAACACCTTGTGACATGGGTCAAATATGTATAGAGCACCTGTGACGTGGGAGTGACATGGATGGAACACCCTGTGACATGCATACAACACCCTGTGACATGGATACAACACCATGTGACATGGATGTGACATGTATATAACAACGTATGACATGGATCGGACATGTATACAACACCGTGTGACATGGATGTGACATGTATACAACACCGTGTTACATGGATACAAAACCGTGTGACATGGATGTGACATGGATACAACCCCGTATGACATGTATACAACACCGTGTGACATGGGTCAGATATGTATACAACACCGTATGACATGGATCTGACATGTATACAACACCGTGTGACATGGGTGTGACATGTATAGAACACCGTGTTACATGGATACAAAACCGTGTGACATGGATGTGACATGGATACAACACCGTGTGACATGTATACAACACCGTGTGATATGGGTCTGATATGTATACAACACCATATGACATGGATCTGACATGTATACAACACCGTGTGGCATGTATACAACACCGTGTGACATGGATGTGACATGTATACAACACCGTGTGACATGGATACAACACCGTGCGACATGGATATGACATGGATACAACACCGTGTGACATGTATACAACACCGTGTGACATGAGTCAGATATGTACAGAGCACCTGTGACGTGGGAGTGACATGGATGGAACACCGTGTGACATGCACACAACACCGTGTGACATGGTTTTGACATGTATACAACACCGTGTGACATGTATACAACACCGTGTGACATGGATGTGACATGTATACAACACCGTATGACATGGATGTGACATGTATACAACACCTTGTGACATGTATACAACACCATGTGACATGGATGTGACATGTATACAACACCATATGACATGGATGTGACATGTATACAGCACTATGTGACATGGATGTGACATGTATACAACACCGTGTGGCATGTATACAACACAGTGTGACATGGGTGTGACATGTATAGAGCACCTGTGACGTGGGAGTGACATGGATGGAACATCGTGTGACATGGATATAACACCGTGTGACATGGTTTTGACATGTATACAACACCGTGTGACATGTATACAACACCGTGTGACATGGATGTGACATGTATACAACAACGTGTGACATGAATACAACACCATGTGACATGGATGTGACATGTATACAACACCGAGTGACATAGATGTGACATGTTTACAACACCGTGTAACATGGGTCAGATATGTATAGAGCACCTGTGACGTTGGAGTGACATGGATGGAACACCGTGTGACATGGATATAACACCAGTTGACATGGGTTTGACATGTATAGAACACCATGTGACATGGATGTGACATGTATACAACACCGTGTGACATGGATTTGACATGTATACAGCACTGTGTGACATGGATGTGACATGTATACAACACCGTGTGACATGTATACAACACCATGTTACATGAATGGGACATGTTCACAACACCATGTGACATGGATGTCACGTCAAGCCCGTGTGACATTGTGTGACAATTTTCATTTATGTTTATGATATGTTATAAGTGCTTTGTTGGATAAAACTCTTCATATTTTTGTTGATCTTCTATCAAGGTTCAAATGCAAACCTTTGAACCTTTGAAATATAGGAACACTAAAGCATTGATCACCAGTAAATTAGAGTCGTAATCATCTCCAGCTCTCAACAGTTGATACCCTGACCCAAAATACTGTTTCCTTGTTGCAAGGGGAATTAGAAACGGCACAATTAGTTTGCATGCATATTTCGATAGCTTAGTCCTTTGTACATAGCAATTTGAAAAAAGTTGTATGAAATGCATATTTCCTTAAATGATATGTTAATTTCCTTTTCTTGAAACTATTACCGAAAGTACTCAGTACAAATAAATGTAGGACCATTATTTTGAGTTATGTCCTATATTTTGTGGCATGTGTGTGCTAAAAATATAGGATTTATAAATGCCTGTTGCGGCGAAACTAAAATGGAATTTAAAAAAACCTGCTACCGTACATAAACAAGAGATACGACATCCGATTGTGCGGCGCATTTGTCACCACTCGCCCCTCTCCGTAACCTGCAAGAAGACTCGTCCCCCTATCGATGAATGTTATGTACGATAATACGACAAACCAAAAGAAAGCGCGTATGACTAAAAGTACTTCGGTCTAAGAATCCCTCAGGAATAATTTTTAATTTCACACGCGTCTTGCATCTAAAAACATACCCTAGATACAGTTAAATGTGTTCAATCATAACTTAAATACATTACACTGTCTCAGAGTTGACCAGTCCTATTTTATCACCTGGTTGTCGTTGTGAACACTATACAGCAATATCGCTGTCCTCACTGACATATTGACATATGTTGCATAAAACCACAGATGCATACTTACTGTCATTACAAATAACATACAGTATCATTGTCAGATTTTATTGTAGTGTTTATGGTAATGCATTCGGAATCCAATAGACATGTTCTCTTTCAAAGGAAACTGGAACTGAAAGGAATATATGGGATGACGGAAGGATCCCTCACAAAGGTGAAACGCACTGTTTCCGTGTGATGCGTCAAAACCGTCAGGGAATGAACCAAAAATCACAAGCGTTTGCCTATAATGTTTCGGCAGATAATCGAGTGATATTTAGCTCGGCTGCAGTTACAAACGACCCGACACTACTTCCTTGAAGTTTGTTATAGACCGTCCTAACTCATTTCTCCCACAAACAACACCAGCCGTGCAGCGACGATGAAGCTGGTGTGTTGTCCTGCTGTTGTGTTAGTTGTGGCAGTTATTGGATTAAATACAGGTAAGGAATCAAACAAGGTTTGTAATTTTTGTTAGAAACAATATATTTTCAGTTACAATTGTTTTCGATTGTTTTCTCTGAAAGGATGAACCGGTTAAAAAATCACAATTCCTTTTCAAGCATTCAGACACCCATTGAACAATTTTCTGTCCAAAACCTGAAGCCAATCAGTTTCCAGTATTTCCTGGAACAAATAATGCTATGTAAGAAAAACAAACACGTGGAACTCATTTCTTCAAGAAAGTTGTTCACCTGAACAGGTTAGGAAATATGAATCTACACTACGTTTATAATGAAAACGCTTAAAACGAACTGACGGATATAACGAAATGTGTTTTGAAATGTGATCCCGCCCATTTGCTGAATAGTTGCTGTATATACGCTTATAATGAACTACGGTTATAACGAACTAAAATTAGTGGTCCCTTTGAGTTCGTTATAGCCGTAGTTTACTGTGTTGTATACAACCTCCTTTGTTCCAGGTGCAGTTTTTCTGTCTGAGGACTCACCATGGACAATCACGGCTGGGACCACTGCATCTGTCACTTGCGGATACCAAAACATAACAAACTACACAGTGTACTGGGAGAAAGAGGAACATTCAAGGGTTACACCTGGAAATGAAACTCTAATTTTCCAAAACGTCCAAGTCACAGACCACGGAAACTACTCATGCGTTATTGAAGCGAATGACAATGTACTGGAAAACAGAACCTTGGATATCCGTGTGAGCTGTAAGTAGAATCCGAATTGTCTTTGTTATAAATTCAAACGAATAAAAGACAGCCTTCTACACCTTAGAATCAAGATTTTGAATCATAAATTTTGGAATGGTACGAAATGTGACCTAGTTCGGTACAGAATACTGCGTAAATATGCCATGTAATTTGAGGATCGAAATTTCTTGATTCTCTTTCCATCAATAGTGAGTGAGTGAGTGAGTGAGTGGGGTTTAACGCCGCTTTTAACTGTATTCCAGTTATTTCGCGGCGTGTTAGCTTAATGTTGGAGGAAAGCCCAAAGTGACATAATCGGGGCGAATCGGGATTCGAACCCACAATCATAGGCTTCTGGCGTGTCCAAGGGACGCAACTCTGCAAAGCAAATCGCGGCCTCTTAGACGGCTTGGAAACCCCTGCCACCCTTTCCGTCAATAACAAAAATTCTTTCAAAATATACATTTATATTACTCTCAATCTTAAACCACAAAATTCTTGTTGTTCTCTTTCGTCTTCACGTTTACACATGTTACAGATCCCTCAGGGAATATTTCGATATCAGTCAGCAACAGAGTCAGAGCTAATTACACCATTTCGGGAGGTGCCAACGCCACTCTGGAATGCTCTGTTGATGGATTTCCTCCTCCCTTCATCACGTGGCGAAAGGATGGCGCCATCATAAAGGAAGAGAACCTCACAGATCACTATGGTCTCCGCCAGCCTCCGACTGACGGCTTCATTAGTGTCTTCGACGTGATCAACGCTGGGCGTGAAGACAGCGGCACCTATGTATGTACAGCTAACAACAGCGCCAACCAGAATGATAGTCGTGAGGCCGAGGTGCACCTGGCAGTGCCTACCTGTGAGTATGTAGTTGACTGCGCAGTCGTAGAATCAGTTAGATAGATAGATTCATGTCATTGTGCATTTACCAACTACTGTACCTCTTACCCATCTTTTAGAATACAGAATTACATAATAATTATTCACATATATGTTGCTATTAACAGATTTATTCCCAAATAACATAATTGTTACAGAGCTGTAAGTGCAATTTGTTTTTCTTTACTCTACTTGGCTTCGTCTTCGGTAAATAAGAATATCAACCAAGTCGGTAAGTCTGACCACCCGATGCCGTCAATTGTCTCTTACAAAATACCTAGTCGCTTTTTACGGCCAACATGGGTTGCTGAAGACCTATTCCAACCTGGATCTTCACTGGGCATGTGATCTAGTTTGGCATAGTTTAATGCGTAAAAGTCCATTTAATTTGGCGATGAAAGTGTGATTTAATGAGCGCAAGGAGACATAAACCCCGATCATGAAACCCACTCCTCCGTCAATATAAACAATTGTTTCAATATATACAGTATTACTCTAAATACTCATTTCGAAAGGTTATTCCACCGTGAGTATCCGGGATAGAATAAGTCTTCTGCAACCCATGCTTGTCGTAAGAGGCGACTAATGGTATAGGGTGGTCAGGCTCGGTGACTTGGTTGATGCATATCATTGTAGATCGAGGTTCATGTTGTCCATCACTAGTTGCATTGCCCAGAGTCCATTATTTACGAACCACCGTCATATATGAGCGCGGCGTTAAACAGCAAACAAACACATAGGTTTTAGAACCACTAAATTCTTTCACGTCTTCACATTTGCACATGTTCCAGATCCACCGAGGCATATTTCGATATCAGTCGACAAGGGAGTCAAGGCTAAATACACCATTCCGGGAGGTGCCAACGCCACTCTGGTCTGCTCTGTGGATGTATTTCCTCCTCCCTTCATCACGTGGCGAAAGGATGGCGACATCATAAAGGAAGAGAACCTCACAGACCGCTATGGCCTCCGCCAGCCTCCCACTGACGGCTTCATTAGTGTCTTCGACGTGATCAACGCTGGGCGTGAAGACAGCGGCACCTATGTATGTACAGCCAACAACAGCGCCAACCAGAATGATAGTCAGGAGGCCGAGGTGCACCTGGCAGTGCCTAACTGTGAGTATGTAGTTGACTGCACAGAAGTAGCATCATTTGTAGCTGAGTAGATTCATGTCATTGTGCCTTTATCGACTAATATACCTCTTACCAACGTATTCATTTCGAGATGATCTGTACGAATCTCAATAGATCTGCATGAAAACTAAAGGAGGAATGCTAAAGCAGAGGGCGTCGTGATCAAAATGAATTGATTGTGAAGGCATGATTGCCAGGGTTATGTTGTTACTTCTTATTTTAAAGCTTAAGGGATTTTTGATGATTTGATTGGTTTATTTGCTGATTACATGACCAGTACATTTTTCAATAAACTTTAAAAAGTGACGTTCACAAAGTATTAACTTCACCTTTTGACGTTTACACGATTTTTGACCGGGACTACTTTTCATGGGGAATCCCCGAGTGGAACAATTCTCTCTTTTCTCTCCTGCTCACCACGATCGTGAGGATCGATTATGTCGGTCAATAAGTTAACGTATCTCCTTCTCTCAAAGCATTTTACGCAAAGGAAAATTACTGAAAATGACCAAATGAAAATGAAGAACATTGTAAATTTCACCATTTGTGACACATTACTAAATCACCATTCACGGCGTTATTTACTGTATGTTTTGAAATCAAAATATTGGAGCTTAGCTCGGAAAATTGAATATCAAAATTCGCATATCGGTGATCTTGGGTTATTGTTTTTTTAAATCTAATCACCAATGATCATCGTGAAACGTCGCCGATAACCCTACAATGTTTTAGAATGTTTTGGCAAATACGCAAACACGAACTTCGAAGTAACGTTCCGCCATATTGGACAGATGCAAAAGATAGGGCAAACATATGAAAGGACCTATGACTTTACATAGAGACGTGACAGTCATTACAGACGTGACAGTCATTACAGACGTGACAGTCATCACATACATAGCAATGGTAGAACAGAAACAAAGTACCCAGAACATCATCAGGATGCAGTTAAGAACAAGTAAGACATGGTGGTGTTCATTCTAACAACGTTCAAGGGGCGGTCGGGTAGCCTAGCGGTTAAAGCGTTCGCTCATCACGCCGAACACCCGGGTTCGATTCGCGACATGGGTACAATGTGTGAAGCCCATTTCTGGTGTCCCCCGCCGTGATATTGCTGGAATATTGCTAAAAGCAGCGTACCCGATAAAATATAAATGTTGTTCACACAATAAGCAACATATATTAGTATTTTGTTATGACTTTTTTCCGACTTGTATAATTACACATCATAACAATTACTTACATATTTACTGATGCATTAACAACATTACCCTCGAATGCCTCTTACGACACGCATAGTCACCTCTCACGGCAAACATGGGTTGCGGAAGACCTATTCTAACCTGGATCTTCCTGGGCATGTGATCTAGTTTAGCATACTATAGTGCGTAAAAGTCCATTTAATTTGACGATGAAAGTGTCACTTAATGAGCGCAAGGAGACATAAACTCCGATCATAAAACCCACTCTTCACTTCAGAAGCGGTTACAAATAAGTCTCTTTCCGTCAATAACAACAATACGTTCAACATATACAAACAATATTACTCTAAATACTTCTTTCAAATAGTTCTTCCCCCGTGAGTATCCGGGATAGAATTAGTCTTCAGCAACCCATGCTTGTCGAAAGAGACGACTTATGGGATCGGGTCGTCAGGCTCGGTGACTTGGTTGATGCGTTTCATTGCATGCCAATGGCGTAAATCGATGCTCATGATGTCAATCACTGGTTTGAATTACCCAGATTCGATGATTTAATATTACTCGCGAATGCTATTATTGTTGCAGATTTCCCAGTTTTACAAAATCAAGGGGAACTTTCAAGGAGGTTCACAGTTGTTGAGGGAGAATCAATCGTGGTCAACTTCACAGTCGTCTCAAGTCCAAGGTCATTAGTTGTGAAATGGAGCCTTCAGCCAGATGGAAGTAATGAAACCAGTGTTTGGAGTAGGAGCGTTGACAATTCTCTATGGAACATGAGGAACCGGACATTGTCAACTGATGTCCAGTTATTTCAATTCTACCACGTGAATGTTACTGAAAACATGACCGGTCTGTACAGGGTCATCTTGACCAATGGTCTTCGTCGTAATCTGGATTTGGAATACAGTATCGGAATAGGATATGGTAAGTCGCCCCTAGTGTATATTCCCGACTTGAAGCATGAAACAGTTAAACATAATGTAAAATATTCCCTGAAAAATATAATTACACGTGCATATTGTATGTTTTGTTTTGTATCCAAGGTAATGTATCCTGGTGTTAAGTCTAAATGCTTCAGGTCGTCAGTGGTCAGTGGTCAGTGGTCCATTTCAGGTTTTTGATTGTTTTCAACGGTGTGGGGCGGTCGGATCGCTTAGTGGTTAAAGCGTTCGCTCGTCACGCCGAAGACCCGGTTCGATTCCCGACATGGGTACAATATGTGTCCCCGCCTCGATATTGCTGGAATATTGCTAAAAGCGGCGTAAAACCATACTCACTCACTCACTCACTCAAACTTCTACGGTGTTGGTCTGAGCTGATATTATTAATCACTGGATTGATAGATCCAGACTCCAATTAATTCAGAGGCAGTCGTTGCATAGCTGAAATATATAAAGCAAACAACTGAGATGCTGCATTTCACAGAGAACATGATTGATTTCACTTTATCTTCATATTCCACAGATACCACTGGACGCAGCATCAATGCAACGGACGTTTACAGCAGTAAGTATTCCACAATGACATCACTATAAAACACCAGCACAGTACGTACACAACATTAATGATGTTTAATGTACAAATAATACGACCTCACCCATATAATCGATTCCCTTCCAGATACGACTGATCTGAATCTCAAGGATGACGAGGACTATGAATCTAGTAAGTACTGCTGAAGCACTGTATGCATGCTTACCAGTTTAGAACTATTGCTGAGTCTGGTTTAACGACTACGTGAACAATATTTCAGTTATTAGGTGGCAGCTTATTGTGGGAGGAAAGCGGTTTTTTTCATAAACTCAAATCTTCAATAAATTACCATAAATAATGCAATAAAATATACTTTGTTCGATGGACATGCTCAAAAGCCCACTTACCTACACCCTGTGAAAATATATTGTTGGAATATTGTGAAAAGCCAGAGTGAAAAGTCAAGGCCAGAGAATAATAATAGTCTCGATTATCTGCTGAAACAAATCCCACTGGATGTAAGAGGCAAGCTGGGGGTCAATGGATGACTGGAAGTCAGTGATGACACCAGGTGTTCGGGACACACACTCATAGTGTCTTTGTTTCAGCGTGGAAGATACTGTTGGCAGTTGTTGTTGGGGTGGTTGTCACAAATGTTCTCCTCGTTGTCCTGTTGTCTTTCTGCATCAGAGGTTAGTATTTTACTGTTTACTGTTAGTAGTTTACTGTTAGTACTTTACTGTTTACTGTTAGTATTTTACTGTTAGCAGTTTACTGTTACTGTCAGTACTTTACTGTTAGTAGTTTACTGTTAGTAGTTTAGTGGTAGTTCTTTATTGTTAGTACTTTACTGTTTACTGTTAGTATTTCACTGTTAGTAGTTTACTGTTAGTAGTTTACTGTTAGTAGTTACTGCTTACTGTTAGTAGTTTACTGTTAGTAGCTTACTGTTTACTGTTAGTAGTTACTGCTTACTGTTAGTAGCTTACTGTTGGTAGTTTACTGTTTACCGTTACCTGTTTCCTATTAGTTGCTTACTGTTACTTGTTTACTGTTTATAGAACTTTATTGTTAGTTGTTTACTGTTAGAGGTTTTCTGTTAGTACTTTACTGTTAGTACTTTACTAGTAGTATTTTACTGTTAGTTTTTGTTTCTTTGTTTGTTTGTTTGTTGTTTTACGCCGCACTCAGCAATATTCCAGCTATATGACGGCTTTACTGTTAGTAGTTAACTGTTAGTTGTTTACTGTTAGTTCTTCACTGTTAGTTCTTTACTGGTAGTATTTTACTGTTAATACCTTACTGTAAGTTATTTACTGTAAGTACTCTACTGTTCGTAATTTACAGTTAGTAATTTGCTGTTAGATGTGTAGAGTTTATCGTACTATTGTTAGTTGTTTACTGGTAGTATTTTACTGTTAATACCGTACTGTAAGTTGTTTACTGTAAGTAGATTACTGGTAGTATGTTACTGTTAATACCTGACTAAGTTGTTTACTGTTAGTAGTTTACTGGTAGTAAGTTACTGTTATTATCTTACTGTTCGTTATTTACTGTTAGTACATTACTGTTCGTTTACTTGGGACTAGTTAAATTGACGTCAATTACGACATGATCTAAGGGAGGTAACTCTGCCCAGTAATTTGACTTTCAAACTCTCAATGTGAGAACAATGAGTGGATATTTTCAAACAATTTCAAATTGATTTCTGTGCGAATACCACCCCTGTAAGTCCTACTTGTCAAATGTTTGATATCTCGTCACAGGCGTTATGCCAGCGGCAGTCGAACATGTCTACCATGCAGTGGATGAGAGTCTGATGCTGGATCTTCCTGTGACTGAGGCCAACACCAACTACATGCGGCCCTTTGACCCCTACTCCATGCAGCGTTATTTAAACAGGGGCGTGACCTGCATGGAAACAGACGTGTGAACTGTGGCTTCTCACTGAACGATCATCTGTTTAATCGTCACTCATCTTTGCCGACAACCATTCGAAATTGTGTCGCTCTCCAAACTGAATCACTGGACAAGCAAATAGTTTTTCTTTTGTAAACATTATCTCCACTGGTACTGGTGACCGCCTCCGTGGTCTAGTGAGCGTCATACCAAAAGACGTTAAAAGATGGTTCTTGATGGATGGAGTTTCCATAAATCTTTTAGTTGTACATACTATATAATGGTGTACTGCCTTAAATATAACTTCATTTTCTGTAACAACGTGATCTGCATTGCCGTATAACAGTAGGTGTACAATAACAGGTATGTTATGAACAATATCTTAAAGGCTGTTAAAAATAATTTCACGCTGATGACTAAACAATGTACATTCCATGAGCTAATGATATGCATTTTCACATGCATTTGAACATGTACAGTTCGGGTGATCTTTTATACCAATTCTGTATAAATCATAATCCAATTGACTGCAGCGGCACATGTATCTCAGTTTTGTGTGTAAGATATTATATTTTCTTTTTCCACATGCGCAGTGAGTACGCAGTTGACGTATGGTGGTGCTTTTGTAAAGAATTTTTAAAACAAGAAATCGTAGAATTTCGATCTGATAACGGAATAGACGTCCACAATCGGATGGTCGATGGGTAAAAGGATTCCCACGAATGTCTTAGTCTCGTGAGAGGAACACTGATGTTTTCAGAGTTTCTGAGACTGTAGGAGTTTGTTGCAGCAACGGTGTTTGGTAGAATATCTGTTAGATAGGAAGGGGCCATATTATGATTAATTTTAAAGAAAATTAGAGTTTCTGAGACTGTATGAGTTTGTTGCAGCAACGGTGTTTGGTAGAATATCTGTTAGATAGGAAGGGGCCATATTATGATAAATGTTAAAGAAAAGACAAAGTTTACGTTTCTTTCTACCCTCAACAAAGGGTTCCCAACCGGTTTCGTAATATAATGAATGCCTAGGGGCATATTTAGGTAGACCAGTTACAATGCGTGCAGCTTCTAATAGTAATTGTTCTAATTTCTCACTTTGTCCTTCGGTGCAACCATCCCATACCTCACATGCGTATTCAAAGTGTTGTCTTATGAACAATTTTATATATATTGTTAATAGTATTTCTGTGAAGGAGATGTTTGAGTTTTCTCATTGAGTAAATCATCTTGTAAGTTGTTTTTATTATGGTATCTATATAAGACCATTTGCCACTGGCTTCAAGTATAACACCCAAGTGCTTATGACTATTTACAGAGCTGATTACTTTTCCGTTGAAATATAGTTGTAGACCTCCAATGTTGTCTTTGCGAGAGAATAGAACTGATTTATTCTTGTCGGGATTGTAAGTTATGAGCCAAAGTTTCGCCAATTCACTTAAGATTGCTAGATTTGAGCTGAAGGAACGTTCCAGTACATTGTTATCATAGGAGGACATGCCAATCGATGTATCGTCGTCAAAAAGTCTTGTCATACAGTCTAAGTTGTCAGCAATGTCATTTACATAAACAATAAAGAGTAAAGGACCAAGCACGGACCCCTGTGGCACGCCAACCTTCATATTTCTTGGTTTGGATATTTCCCCATTGACAAATACGCTTTGGCTACAGTTACTTATGTAACTGGTAAGCCATTTTAACAATTGACCTTTTATACCATACCTCTCTAATTTATACACAAGCCCACTGTGCCATACACGATCAAAGGCTTTTGATACATCACAGAATTCAATAAAATAGTTTTCTTTGTTATCTAATGCTGTACAAATTTGATGATAAAGTTCCATTAGTTGATGGACAGTTGAGTGACCAGCCTGAAACTCAGATTGGTACTTATATCAAACGCAACCAACCAATTCACCGAGTCTGACCACCCAATCGCCGTTCTTTATAAAAAGATATCAAAGGCTTCTATTTTTATAATCTCGATCAATTTATCGGACTGTCAGTTGAAAAACGTTAGTGCATTCTGTTCCCATTTTGCTACAGAAACATAAAGGGAAATCACTCACTGTGCTAAGAGTTAAAACTAAAGTTTGGTGTTTTAATAAATATTTTATATCATAATGACATTTGAGCAGAATATCTGATTCCTATGCACAAAGAAATGCATTAAACTCATAAGTCCTTGAACACCTTACGATCTCACCGTGTGACATGTATACAACAACGTGTGACATGTATACAACACCGACTGACATGGATGTGACATGTATACAACACCATGTGACATGTATACAACACCTTGTGACATGTATATAACACCGTTTGACATGTATACAACACCGAGTGACATGTATACAACACCGAGTGACATGTATACAACACCGTGTGACATGGATGTAACATGTATATAACACCGTGTGACATGAATAAAATACCGAGTGACATGAATGTGACATGTATACAACACCGTGTGACATGTATACAACACCGTGTGACATGGATGTGAAATGTATACAACACCATGTGACATGAATGTGACATGTATACAACACCGTGTGACATGTATACAACACCGTGTGACATGTATACAACACCTTGTGACATGTATACAACGCCGTATGACATGGATGTGACATGTATACAAGACCTATGACATGGATGTGACATGTATACAACACCGTGTGACATGGATGTGACATGTATACAACACCGTGTGACATGGATGTAACATGTATACAATAACGTATGACATGGATGTGACATGGATACAACACCGTGTGACATGGATGTGACAAGTATACAACACCGTATGACATGGATATGACATGTATACAACACCGTGTGACATGGATGTGACATGTATACAACACTGTGTGACATGGATGTGACATGTATACAACACCGTGTGACATGTATACAACACCGCGCGACATGTATACAACACCGAGTGACATGGATGTGACCTGTATACAACACCGTATGACATGGATGTGACATGTATACAGCACCGTGTGACATGGATGTGACATGTATACAACACCGTATGACATGGGTGTGAATTGTATACAACACCTTGTGACATGTATACAACACCGAGTGACATGGATGTGACATGTATACAACACCGTGTGACATCGTGTGACATGTATACAACACCGTGTGACATGGATGAGAAATGTAGACAACACCATGTGATATGGATGTGACATGTATACAACACAGTGTGACATGTATACAACACCGTGTGACATGGATGTGACATGTATACAACACCATATGACATGGATGTGACATGTATACAACACTATGTGACATGTAAACAACACCGTGTGACATGGATGTGACATGTATTCAACACCGTGTGACATGTATACAACACCGTGTGACATGTACACAACACCGTGTGACATGGATGTGACATGTATACAACACCGTGTGACATGTATACAACACCGTGTGACATGTATACAACACGGAGTGACATGGATGTAACATGTATACAACACCGTTTGACATAGATGTGACATGTATACAACACCCTATAGCATGGATGTGACATGTATACAATACCGTGTGAAGTAGTATAGGTAATGGGGGTTCTGGACCACTTCCACTGTAGCTGGATTTATATACCTATACTGCTACTACAGATGGAATTTTTTATGTCAAAATGAATTATGTGATTTAATGATAGTCATGAGATTAAGTTAAATTGGCTCCAGTTCACCACCACCTGGGGCCAATGATATAAATTTTTATAGGTAATAAGGGTTCTGGCTCACTTCCACTGGAGCTGGATTTATTACCTATACTGCTACTATAGGAGGAATTTTTTATGTTAAAATGATAATGTGATTCAACGATGAGTCTAAATGTGATCAAACGATAGTAAGCAATCTATTTTTAATCTCCAACCAGTTCTTTGGTTTTGACACGGAATAACTGACGCTCGTTGCCTCCCCTGTTCTATGAACCTTTTTTTCTCGTCTTCGCTAATACCACTGGTCTTACGAGATTTTGATCGAATCTCCTGCTTCATTGCATTGTATTTGGTGAGTTCCGACAGCACTAAACGAAACTCATCCTCGGATATCTTACAATCGGCCATTGCTGTTGAAATATGATCCTCAATGCTGTTCAACTTTGCTTCGGCGAGTATCCGAATACTATCATGTTTTAATGCTTTCTTTTGTAACCTACGAGAAATGAATTTTATCGCTATTCCTGCCAGTCCCGAGACTCCAGCGGTTATTTCCATGCCGAGCACGATAGGTGCGGCGATTATAGTTGATAGTAAACCGATACCCGCTACACCGAGTCCCATACCAGATACTACAAGCGCGGTGTCAACTCCGTCCAGAGCATTCACGACTTTGCGATACTTTTTATACAATCCAAGTCTCAACTCCCTATCCTTCCCTATTCGATGTTTTATGTCTTTTATTTGATGTAATCGAAATCCATCAACAGTTTCCATCTTTTCAAATGCTTCACCGAGCGCTGGATATAAACTCATAGTGTATATTATGATCATATAATAGTCTTTAATTGGTCTTGCTTAAATGTTTTGATAGTATACATCAATCTTATCAAATGTATATTATACGGCAAGAATATCTTAGTAAGAGAAATACTACCACTTTTAATAATTTGGACCCCCTCGAGGGTTGCAACGGGTGATGCTCCGATATGAATAATACTGCAACGTTGACGTTGGTGTTTCTTAAGCCATTTAATTGATAGACCTGGTAATATATCGAAGGCATCTTCCGGTGCATCTCCGAACAAGACTTCAATAATAAGCGTAGAAAGATTAGGTATTGCACTCAGGTTAACTTTAATTTCTTCGAATTCAGTAACCAAATTTAAAGTAACATTTTTTAAGGACGGACGACTATATAACATATGACCTGGGTTTTCTGACAGGGGAGTGACCAACACACTTTTTCGTTTTGATGGGATATAAGCCGCGAGTACGATGCCACTATTTATTATCTTAGTTAAATTATGTTCCTTACCCATCATCACATAAGGTGGGGTAATGATGATATTCAGTAGCCACTCGATGTTTGCTTCGATCATAGTCCATTTATTATCGTCGTTGTGAGTAATATTGTACGAAGTGTTTTTAAGGAGTCTACTTACATCGACATCGCTTAAATCTTCTAGATTACCCGTGAATGTGACTTCTTTCCGCTTGTATACATTATCGTGTAAGTGTAAAGCGTATAACTTACCATTGGTACCGGGTTTACCAAATCCTTCCGTGTCTCCGAGATCGGAAAGCGCAATTGTATTACATTGTCTTACTGTTCCAGGGCCTGATGCATCAACCATTATTTATAATATGGAGTGTTACGCTTAAGTATCCTATATGTACAGGTTGATGTTTTACATCTAATACAGAAATTTTGAAGTCTGAAATAATACCCCGCTTCAATTTTTTATATTGTAATGATGAGAAAGATTCCGTTCTACCGCTATTATATTTTTCATCTTTCACTGGAACACTTCTAAGCAGAGTTGAAGGACTTTCTAGTTGAATATTATTTGTTGTACTGATTTGATCAAGATGGATGCACAACTCTTTATAGGGAACTAAATCGGGTAATGTCTCTCCATCTTTTAATGTATTGGATATTTTTAATATTTGTGTAAATCCAAGTGTGTTTGTTAAGTTATTGTAAGGAAATACACTTTTTTTTTCTCCAGGGTATAATTTCAGTCTCCCATTCGCCTCATTTTGTGTGAGACTAGATCCATTAGGTTTAAAAAATTCATCATTGAGTGAGCATACGCTGTAATACCCATCAGGTATAGTAATGATTTTAGGAATATCATTTTCAACTATTAATAATTCATTATTTTCTTTCGCAGCATTTATATTGGTCCACCGTGGGTAATACGTTACATCGCATAGAGCTACTTCGAGTTGTCCATCCGAGTTATTGATAGTATGAAGCAGTTCA